GTCTTAAAGTGATATAAGTGTGATCACTGACTGTGATGAGACGTGGTATTTAATTCTAGGGGCAGAGAGATGACAGATGAGATGAGGAAAGGAATTCCTAATTTTTTAAAATTTTTATAATTTTCTTATGCAACATTCTACATAGGTACTGTCCCTGGAAATTTTATTTTTATTTCTTAGTTTAATCTCATGGCTTAAGTCATGATTTTGTTTATTCAAGGTGTAGTTATGCATAGGACAGACTACATATAATACATTAAATATAACCTTTCTTCCTTAATCATTTATTGAAAAAGGAGGGAGCAAGGGTGGAAAGGAAGGGATTGACTTGAGAGGGTTTTGTTTTTGTTCTTCTTAAGTATACAGAAACAACATAAAAGTGGCAAAAATATAGTCAAAACTATATCTCAAGTTTCTGCCAAGAGTGATCCATGGATAATTGTGCCACTAGCAGGAATCAGCAATGAAGGGATAGGAACAGTTTTAGAGAGAAGAGAAGATGGTGAATCCAGTTTGAGCTACACAATGTTTGAGGTTCTCGCAGGGCATCCAAAAGGGACTTCTTGACCTAGAGCTGGTGTGCTTTGCATTACAAGCAGCACTGTACCAGATCCCTGGTCCTCCACTCAGAGCAATTTTTTCCCCACAGGAAACATTCTGCAAAGTTTAGAGACATTTTTGGTTGTTAAACTGGAGAGTGAGGGGAAGGGCTGTTACTAACATCGGGTGGAGTCCAGGAATGCTGCTAAATACTGAACCCCCAATGCACAGGACACAACAAAGAATTATTCAGCCCCAGATGTCAGTGGTGTCAAGGCTGAGAAACTGCTTACCAGGTAGCAGGGGAAGCTGCATAAGTTTATGTGTTTATACAGACAGAACTGTAATCCAGTAGAAGGGAAATAAGAGTGCCCATAATGAAAAACATGTGGAGAATAAACATGATAGGAGTTCACAGAGGTTCAGAGATTGTACAAGGATGATAGAAAGTATAGCAGTGTGTTTGCAGGAACCCGGGGATGGAGAGTTATTACCCTTAGTTTACATACAAAGTAACAAAGGCTTAAGAAGTAACTTTTCCCAGTTTACATAGCTAGTTAGTAAAAAGCAGAGGAAGATTTCAAACTTACTTCCTTTGACGCCACAGTTAATTCTCTGTCCTATCTGCCATACTAAGAACTAAATGCTCTTATAACTGAGTGATAAGTGATCTTTCCAACAATGACCGAGGGCTTCCTGCTGTCCTTGAATGCTTAATGCTGAACATTTTGCTGGGCTGCTCTGCAGCCCATATTTAGGGATCCGCAGAGGACTGCTGTAAATATTATAATAGCAACAGTACTTCTAGCCTCCCACATATTTGCTACTAAACACCAGGAGCAACTTCCTGAAATGAGATCATACACAGTCAGAAGCATGCAGCATCCCTTAAAAAAAACTGAGATTTTCTTTTAAAGAAATGTAAATCGGAGTATCCATTCTTTGCTTTGATTATTGTTTTGCATAGCTTTTATAAACTCCTGGAAAACATTTTGAGAATTGCCCTTATTATGCTGAAGCTATATATTATAGTTATATTTTGGATCAGAAAATGAGTACGTAGCTACACAGCAGTATGTGACCATATAATATAAGACCTGCAAACACTGAGAGGCAAGAGCTGGATTCAGTCCCCTGCTCAACAAATACTACATTAGCCATTTGACCTTGGTCCAGTCATGTATTCTTTTTAGGACTCAACTGCCAGTGATTTAATCAAATGTTTCAAACAATTATTAGTAGCTCTAATTGGAACTGATTCTATGATCCTTAGAACTTAAAAGCACATCATCCCAAACTGTCTCTTTAAGAATACCTAACAGTACTCATCCAAGCATTCAACAAATGCTGTGTAAACCTGCTTTTTGTAAGGCACTGTTTTTAGGCAGAGGGGGGTAAATACAAAGCATAAAGACCTGATTCCTTCTCAGAAAAGGAAAAAAATAACCCTCAAAATTTATTATGAAAAACAGTGGAGTTATATATCCAGAAGAAGCTCTAATTTGAAAAGATAAATGCACCACAGTGTTCATAACAGCACTATTTATAATAGTCAATACATGGAAACAACCTAAATGTCCATCAACTGATGACTGGATAAAGAAGATATGGTATATAAATGTGTGTGTGTGTGTGTGTGTGTGTGTGTGTGTGTGTGTGTGTGTAGGAATACTACTCAGCCATAAAAAGGATGAAATAATGCCATTTTTAGCAACGTGGATGGACCTGGAGATCATCAAACTGAGTGAAGTAAGCCAGAAAGAGAAAGACAAATACCATATGATATCACTTATATGTGGAATCTAAAAATAAATGACACAAATGAACTTATTTACGAAACAGAAACAGACTCACAGACATAGAAAACAAACTTATGGTTACCAGAGGGGCAGGGGGAAGGAGGATAAATTGGAAGCTCAAGATTTGAAGATACTAACTACTATATATAAAATAGTTAAATAACAGGTTTTTACTGTACAGCACAGGGAACTGTATTCAATATCTTATGGTAACATAATGAAAAAGAATATATATATGCATATGTATGGCTGAAACATTATGCTGTACACCAGAAACTGATACATTGTAGACTGACTATACTTCAATTAAAAATAAAAAAATTAAATAAAATATTTTAAGTTTATTTTTTAAAAAGAAGCCCATAAACAAGTAAAAGATATTTATTGGAGTCTGCCATCTTCTCCTGACTCAAGGGTCCATTTCTATTTCTAATTCATCCATTTGATTCTACAAGTTATTGACCTGGACTCACATCCATTTGTTTATCTCCTGTAGTTTTCTCCCTTCACTCTGGGTCTCTGACAATTGAACACACTTGACTTTCCCCAGTGGGTCTGATGTTTGATTGTGGACTAATGCCTTATTTTCCTGACATCTCCCTTGCACTTACTGGATTCAGCCTACATAGTCTCCCTTTAACACTGACATGTTCTTGAACCTTGTACCCTTCATTCCACCTTATGAATTTACCGATAAGTAGTTCAATTTTCATTACATTTTTAATTGGGGACAGAGGAAAGAATATGAACCCATCCCTTTTGTTCCTTCTTTTATGCCATCTTAAGAACTGGTAAAGAAAACAATTCTCAGGGTACAAACTTGCACAACTCTCATACCTAACTCTTTTCCTGAAAGCTACTTCCTCAAAGATAATGCTCTTAGCTTAGTTGTATTGCTGTAGTGAAATAAACAAAGAACCAAAATCTGAAAATGCTGTACTTAAAACATTATCAACTTTGCAATAGTTAAAACAGGACCTCTTTGAAATTGTTTAAAGCTCTCTCTCTCTATATATATACACTCACATATATACACTTCCTGTATGTCACACTCTTTTCTTCTTCCACATGGATAATTTTTCTTATGAGAATCTTCCCATTCAGCTTTTTCTCTATTAATTCTCATGCATTAGAGAGAATAAATACGCTTATAGGACAAAATAGTATGCATGTGAGTACAGTTATGATTGGGAGGAACAGAAACCCAACTCAAAGAGTGTAAGGAAGGAAGGAAGTTCTTTGTATAATGAGCTGAACATAAAAAATGGCTGTTGGTCTTCCATCATCCAGAACCTCACATGGTACCATCTGAACACTTTCTATCAGACGACTGTCTTGTTTTCTTTTCTGTTGGTGTCCGTGGTAAGCAGGGTCTTACTTGGTATCTGCCGTGATAATGATCAACTACTCTAAACATGGAGTGGCCTTATTGCTATCAAATAATTCAAAAAGAAAGCATACATTTTTTGATGGAACTAATAAAAGAGACTACTAACAAAAGAACTAGTAACAAGAGAGGACCCTTATTGGCTCAGTCTGGATTTTCTGCCCATTTCAGTATCAGGCATGGGACAAGAGAATAGGTAAGCGTGACCAGTCATCCCAGTTTTCTGTGACTGTCCCAGTTTTACACTGAAACTCCGGTGCCCTTGCCTTGGTCACATACCCTCCTCACAATGGAGAGTGAATGACAGAACAGCACCACTTGAAACACAGGAAGGAGAGGGGTTCCCCCAAAAGAATTTACTCAAAAAATTAATAAATATAAAACACTTTGAGCAGTGCCTAGAATGACATATTAAACACTCAATAAATATTAGTACACACATTTGTTCCCCAAAATCCATCAAATATAAGCTGAATATCTACAGTAAAATCAATACCTTTTTATTCCCTCTAAGAAAGAATAATATCAATTTTAACACATTTGGATAGCAGTGATATTAAAATGTGAACAATTTGTGCATACTAGGTTCTGAAAAAGTTAAATGTGTGCCCTTATATATGTTCCCACTATGAAGGACTGGCTTATATAGACAGTTCTTCCACCTTAATATGCAATTTTCATTATTAAATAATCATTTCATATTTTCCTTATGTATTCAGGATTTAAATATGTTTCTAGAAATTTTGAAACATATGTCTGAGAATGAGTAAAATCTTTTAAAAACATAAATGGTATTATGTCCCTCAACTTCTTAAAGCCCTCCCAGGCTTTCCCACTGCACTTAGAATTAGATCAACTACTTAAAATAGCTCACTAGGGTCTTCATGGTTTGGGTGATGCTTGTTAGATTTCCCCTTTCAGACATACGACACTGATTCCTTCCTTAGGGCCTTTGACTTGTGTTTTCTCTGCCTAAGCTGCTTACGTCTAGTTCCTTTGCCTTTTAGATGACAATCACCTTCTTTATATATATACATATACATATATATATACATGTGCATATATATATATGTATATATATATGTGTGTATATATATATATATATATATTTTGTTTTTAGTTGAAGTATAGTTGATTTACAATGTTGTGTTAATTTCTGTTGTACAGCACAGTGATTCAGTTATATACACATATGTATTTTTTTCATATTCTTTTCTGTATAGGTTATTACAAACTATTTGTTATAGTTCCCTGTGTTATATATACAGTAGAACCTTGTTGTTTATCTATTTTGTATATAGTATTTAGTATATAGTAGTGTGTGTCTGCCAATCCCAAATTCTTAATTTATCCCTCCCCCTACCTTCCCCTCTAGTAACCATAAGTTTGTTTTCTGTGTCTGTGAGTTTGTTTCTGTTTTGTAAATAAGTTCATTTGTGTCACTTTTTTAGATTCCACACAAAAGTAATATTATATGGTATTTTTCTCTCTCTTTCTGGCTTACTTCACTTAGAATGATGAGCTCCAGTTCCATCCTTGTTACTGCAAATGGCATTGTTTCATTCTTTTTTATGACAGGGTAGTATTCCATTGTATGTTTTTGTTGTGTGTGTGTGTGTGTGTGTGTGTCTCACATCTTGTTTATCCAATCGTCTGTTGATGGACACCTTCTTAATAAGGCATTTCTTAATCACCAAAACTAAGGCACTTCCACTGCTCCTACCCCATCCTGATCACCCTCTGTGGACCAACTGTGGACCTGTCTATTATTATTAACCTCACAATACTCATCAACACATAAAATTATCTTATTCATTTCTCTCTTTTCCTGTTGTCTCCCCAATGCTAGAAAATGTTCTCTGTGAGAATAGGAGTTAATACCCGTGCATAGCACATTAATTTGCTTAATAAACTTAGTGTTGACTAAATCAGTTAATCACCTTTTTTTCTAATAATGTGTGGCAATGACATGTGAACCACAGGACCAGATGCCCAGGATGAGAAGAGCAGATCACAGCAAGTCCTTTCAGAATGATGACTTAACTAGGCTTGTTCCTCCTGACTGTGCTACACCTTACACTCATGCCTGTTGAGAGTGAAAACAGTATGTGTATTACAAAGAATGCGATTTTTGTAAAAAGGTGAAGGAGAAGAAAGACAATGTAATATTGTTTGCAGCTTCCTCAGTTGATAGAATAAAGGCCCTGGAAGTCCTTTTAATGCTATTTGGTTTATATTGTTTTACTGTTGTTTTTGGCCACAGTGTTGAAAACAAAATAGATAACAACACACATCGCAAGTACACTTGGCGGAGAGAATGTGATAAATTCACTTACATCTGGAAAGTCTATCAGACTTTCAGAGTTCCCTAAGCAAAATTTAGGAAGCTTTCCAAATTTGCAATCATTTGGATTTTTCTCTTTTGCCATAAACATTTAAACACATTTTCATGGGAATTTAGAATTACTCCTGAAGAATGAATTCCTATGCTCGTCAGCACCAGGATAAGCAAGCCAACGTAAAACAAATAGACAAACAAAATGCACACATACATGGGAAGATCGGGTAGTGATTTCAGTATCTGTCTAAAAAAAAAAGCAGACAGGCAGGCAGGGAGGGAGGATGAAGGAAAAGAAGAGAATAAATAGAAAGAAAAAAGGAAGAAAAGAGAAAAAAGGAAAGAAAAAGAAAAAGAAAATTAAAATGTGACCAGCATGATTACATAGAAACTAGAAGGTAGAAACTAGAGAGGGCAGCTTCTTGCTGTCAGTACGGGCATTCCCTGCTCCACTCCCAGAAGAGGATTTATAGAGACATCCCTTATCTAAAATTGGAGTCCTCTTCTCTCCAAAGGGCATGGGGCCCCTTTAATCTCTAACATGTGCCCCTTCTAAAATAGTAGTACACCTCTCTCTAACTCAACAACATTCTGCCTGATAGTGAAGTAAGGAAAGCTTAAAAAAAAAAAAAGTAACAGAATCTCAAAAAGAACTTCTGTGTTTAAACTTGTATTGTTCTCATTACTGCAGCACAAGTGAAGTTAGCATTATATTCTGTCCTCTCTTTAAACTTTGGTCATGTTCAATGTCCTGTCCCCTTTCTGGGTCTCACTCTAGCTTTAAGCTCTTGGCTCTGGCAAATCAATCCTTTTTTAAAATTTTTATTTATCTACTAATTGTTTATGTGTCTCTTCTTTTTGGGTAGGGAAGGTAATTAGGTGCTTTTTTTTTTTTTTTTTTAAGTAGAGCTACTGGGGATTGAACTCAGGTCTTCGTGCTTGCTACCACAGGGTTATACCCTCCACCCCTGGCAAACCAATCTTGTTTCCTATCTTACTCTCCTGAATTTGGTGTTTATATCAGGCATCCGCACAGCATGGTCTTATTTTGTCCCCATCACAACCCCCGAGACTTTGGGTTGAGTGATTCATTGCAACATAATCTTTATGTCTTGGGTCTTACATTCTTTATTCCTTAGAACACAAATTCTTTACCTTTTACTTCCTTTCACACTCCTAGTTCTTTCCATCCTCTCATAAATTCACCTCTTAACAGCTATGGAATGTTTCATTATCTATAAAATCAGTTTTGATGAAACCAGGCTCTACCTGAGTGCATTCCAGGAGACACTGGTCCCATGAAATATTTCATGAATGCAAAAATGGATGGAAGAAAGGAGAGAGAGAAAGACAAATATACGTACCACTGAATACTGTGTACTCACCCAGAGCTTCACAAGGTCCTTGATCATCGTAAAAGTGCTGAGAGAGTCTACAGTAAAGACACATACTTAACTTTGCTTAAACACCCCTAACTTGTTTGGCCACATACTGTTTGTTTCTTTATGGTAACGTCTACCAATAAGCAAAGTGAGTAGCATTTGTGGTAATCACTTAGGAGTAATCCTGCCTGGAGGTGTTTATGGTCCTTTCCAACCTTGACAATATTCCAGAGTTACAGAATTTCCATCAGTTGAGTTCTGTTTACAATTTGATCCATGTAATTCGGCATTTATGAGCGCCATTCCAATAAAGCCCACATATCAGTAAAGATGCTGCTGCTGAAAGTGTAGCAGATCACAGCAACCCAATCACCAGGGGAAATTAAATCTCTCTCTAGGTCACAAAAGTGTCATTCCCTTAAACAAACAAACAAGAGAATGACTTAGTTATTATTAATATCGTACATATGACATATGTAGATTGTCATTACTGACATTAATCTTTGTAATATAAACCATGTAATTTTTCATTTTACTCCAATCAGTTTGCAATAACTTGTCAGCAAAGAGTATTTAAGTGTTTATTTATACAGCACCAATTTTGCTACACATTCATTTGAGGGTATTTCTGTAGTAAAGCTATTCATAAAACAAAATGATATTTATATTTTAAAGAATAAAGTCATGCTTTTGCAAGCAGTACATTATCAGATTACGAATCTGGTTAAAGATGTTGAATGGAAGCAATCAGTTATTTCAGTATAGAAAGAAAGACAATTTATGAATAAAATAAATAAATTTTCCTCTTAGCAAACAGTATGACAAATCATTAAAAAATAACGTGATCAACACATAACAAGGCCACATAACATCTCAAATTTGGAACCATGGCATTAGACAGATAAAAGGAACACACAGAAATAACTAACCCAGTGATATAATTGTAAAAGATATAAAGTGTGTTAACAACAAAATAATGGGTGCCTCATGATTAGATCTCATCAGCTCTTTAGACATTGACCACCAGGCCTGAAGCTCACCTAACTGAATCATCGCCAACATCTAACCTCTCCACAACCAAGCTGAAATTCAAGCCATTACTTAAAACAGTGCAGCAAAAATAGTTTCCCAGAGCCATTTGATTTATGCTTCCTCATTTCCCCCAGTGGTCCATGACTCATACTCAGGCTACTCAAACTTAAGACAACCATCAATGGAGAATTCCCATCTCCCAGGTTTATAACTCATATCTCTCAATCTATGAAAGTCATATTATATTTAAACACTTCCTCTATGAACTGAGAGATCTGACCATGCAACTCTTTTCATTTGTAAATCCTACTCTGACCCTCTTCTGTCCAACATGTCCTATTAAAAAATTAGCATTTAATAGAGAAGGAAAATCTCAGGTTTATGCACAGCTGTTAATATGCCTTAGAGCATCACTTCGCAGAACCCTCTTTCCAGGAAGATATCCTCTTAGGAAAGGCTGCCTACCAAGAGAGCAACTGTTATGAAAGCAATCAAATACTTTTAATTAAAAAAAAAATCCCAAACACCTTAAAATGTTTTCCCTCATGACCTCAATTCCTGGGAGACTTTCATGTTCATCTACTATTTCTGTTTTACTTTGACATAATTAGAGCAAAGTATCACAGATGTTGGGAAGTTTTTTTTTTTTTAATCTAGGCTGAGGTTTACCAGATGTCTAAATCCCCTATTGTGACTTATTAGCAAATTTTAAAAATTGTTATGGGAACATAAATCTACCTCAAGAGTCCCAACATCTAATCATATCCCTACTCTTTGAGTGTGTATGAACTCAAATATGATTGAGTTTTGATTTATAAATAAGTACCATGGGTAAACCCCGTATTATTTCATGAAATCTTAAAAATATGTATACACCATAAACATTACACTATTGGCCTCAGATCAAAAGTCTGTGACTTATTGGGAATAATAAATGTCAAAGTAATTTCAACCTACAAGAGTATAAACTTTCATAAAACTGGCATTATCTATTATGATACCTTGTTGGCTAATTAGTTATGTTTGAGAAATTAATGGCTTTTATGAAGTAAAGAAAAAATGCTTTACTTCTAAATATCCAGATTTGAAACAAGATTAAACTGTTTTGCATAAAACAATGTAGATTAGAAGCTCGATTAATAAAATCAGTTATACGAGCATCAAATAATTTGCCAATGAAATTTCATGGAGGTGTAAACTTGCCCTGAATATGCTATTTTCCAATAGGAGATAAAAAGCTGTGTGTACCATCTGGAATTCTGGACAAGGATGGGGTTTCAGTAATTGCATCAGCAATGCAGTGCCAGTTTCAGAGACAAGTGTTTTGGGGGAAATATAGGAAGAAGCGTATCTATAAGATTTATGCATATCACCTTAAGCTTGTGGTAGTAAGAGCTAAAAATTTGTTTAACACCATGAAATGACATGAGTGAGTGCAAGGCCAAGATAAATTACCATCAGCGTCCTCTTCTATCTGTGGTGAGGATCTGTAGAGGAGGTGATCTGCGGATGAGAATGGTACAAGGAGGAGAGATGAAAACCACAAGAAATGAATTAAGCCTGAC